GTTTAAAGGACTACGATTTGAGGGCATGCACCTGGAATGTCCGGACCCTTAATGGGGAAGGTGCCTCTGCCCGGCTGCTTGATGTCCTCGTAAGAACAAAAGCTGACATCACCGCCATCCAAGAAATGCGTTGGACGGGGCAAGGCAAGCAATGTCTGGGGCCTTGCGACGTCTACTACAGCTGCCATGTAAAGGAGCGCAAATTCGGTGTTGGATTTGTGGTGGGAGAGAGACTCCGTCGCCGAGTACTGTCGTTCACCCCGGTGGACGAGCGTCTAGCCACAATCCGCGTCAAAGCGAGATTCTTCAACATCGCGCTTATCTGCGCCCATGCCCCGATGGAAGAGAAGGATGAGGCATCCAAGGATCTCTTCTATGAGCGCTTGGAGCGCACATACGAGCGCTGCCCCCGTCATGATATCAAAATCGTGCTTGGCGACTTCAATGCCAGGGTGGGCAAGGAAGGGATCTTTGGAACCACCGTCGGAAAATTCAGCCTCCACGACGAAACGTCCGACAACGGTTTGAGGGTGATCGACTTCGCCGGGGCCCGAAACATGGTAGTATGCAGTACTAGGTTCAATCATAAAAAGATCCATCAAGCTACCTGGCAGTCTCCGGATCGAAAAACGAGAAACCAAATCGATCATGTTGTGATAGACGGAAGGCACGCTTCCAGTGTTTTAGACGTACGCACACTCCGAGGCCCAAACATCGACTCGGACCACTATCTTGTTGCAGCAAAGATACGCCCCCGCCTCTGTGCAGCAAAAAATGTGCGCCCAAATATGCAAGGAAAGCTTAACGTCGAAAAGCTGCAATCACAACAGACAGCCAGCGCTTTCGCTACTCGACTCTCACATCTGCTCTCAGAGAGCACTCTTCAACAAACCGACATATGCGAGCAGTGGAACCACATTTCCCGCTCATTAGGTACCGCCGCCGAAGAAGTAGTCGGATTTCAGCGAGCCCGAAAGAACAACTGGTACGATGAGGAGTGTCAGGAAGCTGCAGAGAAAAAAGATGCCGCCTACAGGGCCACGCTGCGATCGGGCGCAACGCGCGCTATGTGGGACCGCTATAGGGATCTGAAGAGGGAAGCGAGACGTATTTGCCGCAATATGAAGAGAGAGGCCGAAATACGTGAGTGCGAAGAGCTTGAAATGCTGGCCAACAGGAAGAATGCCCGAAAATTTTACCAGAGAGTTAGGCGACTTACGGAAGGTTTAAAGACCCGGGCGTACTCCTGTAAGAACAATAATGGGGACCTAGTAACTGATGTTCACAGCGTACTTAAATTATGGAGGGAACACTTTTCGGCCCTACTAAATGGAAGCAGCACGGAAAGTTGCGGAGAAGAAGAACCCGAGCCCGCAGTCGATGATGACGGAGTCGACGTTCCACCACCTGACTATGACGAGGTACGTATAGCAATAACGCGGCTGAAAAACAACAAAGCTGCTGGAGCTGACAGCCTGCCAGCTGAGCTATTCAAGTACGGCGGCGAGGAGTTGATAAGGTGCATGCATCAACTCTTATGCAGAATATGGTCAGATGAACGCATGCCCGACGACTGGAATTTAAGTGTGCTGTGCCCAATCCACAAGAAAGGTGACCCGCCATTCGCGCCAACTACCACGGGATCAGCCTTCTAGGCATAGGTTACAAGGTCTTATCGAGCGTACTGTGTGAAAGACTTAAGCCCACCGTCAATGAACTGATTGGGCCTTATCAGTGTGGCTTTAGACCTGGAAAATCCACCATAGACCAGGTATTCACAATACGCCAAATCTTGGAAAAGACCCGCGAGAAAAGGATCGACACTCACCACCTATTTGTCGACTTTAAAGCCGCCTTTGACAGCACTAAAAGGAGTTGCCTATACGCCGCTATGTCTGAATTTGGCATCCCCTCAAAACTTATACGGCTGTGTAAAATGACGTTGAGCAATACCACCAGCTCCGTCAGAATTGGGAAAGACCTCTCCGAGCCGTTCGCCACAAAACGGGGTTTCAGACAGGGCGACTCCCTTTCATGTGACTTCTTTAATGTGATGTTGGAGAAGATAATAAGAGCTGCAGAACTGAACCGCTCAGGAACAATTTACTACAAGAGCGTGCAATTGCTGGCTTATGCCGATGACATCGACATCATCGGTAACAAAAACCGCGAAATCTGTTCTGCCTTTTCCAAGTTGGATAGGGAAGCAAAGCGAATGGTTCTGGTGGTAAACGAGGACAAGACGAAGTATCTCCTGTCATCAAACAAACAGTCAGCACATTCACGCCTTGGCACCCACGTCACTGTTGACAGTTACAATTTCGAGAAAGTAGAGAATTTCGTTTACTTGGGAACCAGCATTAACACCGATAATAATGTCAGCATTGAAATCCAACGCAGAATCACTCTTGCCAACAAGTGCTACTTTGGACTGAGTAGGCAATTCAGGAGTAAAGTCCTCTCTCGACGTACGAAAACCACGCTCTATAAGTCACTCATCATGCCCGTCCTGGTATATGGCACAGAAGCATGGACAATGACAACATCCGATGAGGCGGCTCTTGGAGTGTTTGAGAGAAAGATTTTGCGGAAGATTTACGGGCCTTTACGCGTTGGCGACGGCGAGTACCGCAGACGATGGAACGATGAGCTGTATGAGCTTTACAACGATATGGACATAGTGCAGCGAATTAAAATACAGCGGCTCCGCTGGCTTGGTCATCAGTGTTGCCGCGAAACGTTTTTAGTGGTAGCTAAATTCCAGCTAAAAAAGGGCTAAAAAAGAGCTAAAAATCGTCGTTGTGGCTAAAAATGGTAGCTAAATTTTTTTACCTACATCTTATATATAAAAATAAGTGCACGTTTTTGGTGTGACAATATAACTTAAGAACGGCTTCACCAAAGTCAACCAAATTTATGCGGCATATTCGGGCCATCATGCAGATTTTTTATGCGGAGTTTGTCCAAATTTGGAAAAGGGGCGTGGCATATGTATGTATCTTATGTATACAAATAAGTACACGTTTTTGGTGTGAACTTATAACTTGAGAACGGCTTCACCTAATTCAACCAAATTTATTCGGCATATTTAGGCAATCATGCAGATGGTTTATGTGAAGCTTTCCCGAATTCGTAAAAGGGGGTGTGGCACCTTCCATACTAACTAAAAATTTTTTTGTTGTATATCTCTTGAAATATTTGTGGTAGAGTACTGGAAGTTGGTATAGAGGTATAACAAATAATTCCATACTCATGGATAAAAATGGGCGGTATTGGAAAAGAGAGCGTGGCACCTCCCATCTTATATATGTATAAAGAATAAGTGCAAGATTTCAACCAAATTTATACGGCATAGTCGGGCTATTATGCAGATGGTTTGTGTTAGGTTTCCCCGAATTCGGAAAAGGGGGCGTGGCACCACCCATACTAACAAAAATTTTCATCTGGTATATCTCTTGAAATATTTGTGGTAGATTACTGGAATTGGTAGCTATACGTGGCATGTGCAAGAGTTGGCTTTCCAAATTGTTTATTTATTCATACCCAAGATGGAAAAACAAAAAATGTTGTGTATCCAAATGTGTTGGATTAAGATTTAAAATAAAGAATCAAAAATTTATGAGCGAAGAGTTAAATTCATGAAAATCATAAAAAAAAATTTTAATGACAATGATGAATAATGTCAATGATGAAATGAAAAGGGCTAAAAAAAGAGCTAGGGGCAATTTCAAATTTTTGTGGCCAAAAATAGAATTTGGTAGCCAAATTTAGCCACCAAAGGGCTAAAACGGCAACACTGTTGGTCATGTCGTTCGAATGGACACCGACGCTCCAGCTCTGAAAGTATTCAACTCGGAACCCGCTGGTGGGAGCAGAGGAAGAGGGAGGCCCCCACTGCGATGGAAAGATCAAGAGGAGAAAGACTTGGCTTCACTTGGCGTTTCCAATTGGCGTCAGTTGGCACAGAGGAGAAACGACTGGCTGGTTTGCTGAACTCGGCCAAAATCGCTTAGGCGGTTACAGCGCCAAAAAAGAAGAAGAAGATTAACCGGCCGTCTTCGTATGCTTGAAAATTTCGCTTGTGTTCTGCTTTTTTCTCTCGCAAGCGAGATAGAGTTTTGTTGACTGGGCATTTGACAGCATACTTTTTCATTTGTAAAATGTCGCCAAACAAGAAGGTTCAAGCCTTGTAGGCTCTTAAAAGTTTGAAAAAATTAGAAAATCTGCATAAAGAGATGTATACTATTTTCAAATGAAAAATGGCTGCCTCTAAGTTTGTATTGCCTCCAAAATAAACGATGTTGCTACTCTGAAGAACTCTGCGAATTGAGAACATAGCTGTCAAACAACAAAAATGACAGTTGAAAGCAAGCGAGAGCTGGCATACCGCTCGGTATGTGAGAAAAAGCATGCTTCGTACTTTTTGCGGTCTACACGTGCGGTTTCTCGCATGCGTCGTCACGCAAGCGAGATTTGCCAGCACGTGAAGACGGCCGGTAAGTGTGCAGTGTGCGGTCGCCCTAAACATTTCCCGTTCGATGTGCTAGAGATTTCAGTTTTCTCAATCAGCGGTGCATTGATACATCGACTATTTACACATCGAGTGGAAAATACATCCCTATACCTAGATCATAGATATCTATAATGGCGAATAAAAATTTAACTGTGGAAGGACAAATAGGTAATAGTGCAGAAAACTTTTTTGATGAAATATGGAGGAGTTGGTGCCGCCTCTGTGGAAAGGCCGATATTCAGTCCATCAATGTTATATCTGGTCAGTGTGGGAATTCCATTAATGAAACCAGCTATAGCTGCAATATAGACACAGTACAGGTTGTAGGGGAATTCTTCCGAGTTCAAGTAAGAGATATGAAAATTACATATACATACATATGTACACTATATTACCAATGCATTTTTTTAGATTAAAGAGGATGATAAACTGCCACAAGTTATTTGCCAAGGGTGCTGCGGGAGGGTAAACAACCTTATTGAATTCAGAGACCGCGTAAATAAAACCCAACAAATGTACGAAGAACTGCAGAAGTGTACAGACAAAGAAAACCTAGATTTGAATGGATTACTTTTGAAGTATGGTGTATTTAAAGACGAATCGTTAACTCAATATAGAAGTGAGCTTCCGGTTGAAGAAATTTTCATTTCCGATCTAGTATCGGTAACTTGCAATGCTGACGCTGCGAACATTGATGTAAAAACTGAGAAGGTATCTAATGAAAACCAGTCAAAGACCTTAAGATCAAAACATGGTAAAAAAACTGAATCTCAAGATCCGATCGGCGACGAGAATGTAAAATTCGACCACGAATCTGGTACATTGTCTGAAGACGAAGACAGTAGTAGTAGTGAATTTAGTTTCGGAGGCTTGGATTCTGCGGAAAGTAGCGATACTGAAAGCCGTAAGAGAAGTGAAAAAAAGTCGAAGAAATCCACAAACACCTCTGAAGATATCTCTCAGGAAATTGACCATTCCTGCAGCATTTGCTCACAGAGTTTTCAACGGCGGAGTAATTACTATACACATATGAAAAAAAAACACGGAGTTTTCATTTGCTCACAATGCCCGAGTTCTTTCAAAAGTGAATTTGATCTGCAGGAACATATGAAAGATCACCAAAAGCTCTATAATTGTGAGCATTGTGACCAAAAATTCCAAAGAAAGGGTGCAATGAACAAACACATCAGAAATGAACATGAAAAAAATATTAAAAATTTGTTTAGTTGTCAGCACTGTGACCAAAAATTCGAAAAAAAGATTGCAATGAGCAGACATATAAAACATGAACATAAACAGGAAAGTCCATATGTGTGCGCCGCATGCGGAGAAGCAGTACTCTCAAAGAAACTATTGAAACAACATATGTTAACCCACACTGACTTCACGCCCTATGTATGTAAAGAATGTGGAAAGGTATTCAAAGCGAAAAACATCCTGAAGGTAATAAAATATAAACATTTATGTATGTACTAGATTGCTCTCACCCGCTTCGCTGAGTGTATGTAATTTCTACGTGCTACATTGAGTAAAATTTATTTCAAGAAAACTCTATTCAAATACAGTAGGTTTAAAGTTTGTTTAACCATCTTCAAAATGTTTTCAAACTTGTCATACTTTTTAAATTAACTCAATTTGAGATTTTAAACATATGGAAACCCCTTACATGTAGTTTTGAAATGAAGCCTTTTAAAAACCATTTCGATTGACACCCATATTGTAATAATTCATTTAAATCTGTGTTCGTATGGAAAAGTCGCTTATGTCGAAGGGCTGGATTTAGTATAAATCGGCATTCGCAGCATGCGATTGCAAATGACTCACAGGCACTGAGCCGTTGAACAACGTTTGGCAAATAAACGTGCCAGAAATAGTTCTGATAGTAGCAAGTCAATATTCTTGTTAAATCTCATCGAAAAATTTCTTGTCGTTTAAAGAATAAAGGGAATGCCGCATTGTACTAAAGCCAGCCTTTCGACATAAGCTACTTTTCCATACGAACACAGAAATTATTGAAGTTTAAACTTAACCTTTTGAACAGTTGGCAATCTTTTTAAACCTCTTTCGTCTGGCACTCATATTGTGATACATATTCAAAACCATTTCGATTCATACCAATCTTCTATACTAATATATATTTTAAAAGACGTTTTTTATGTGTTCGCAAAGCTCGAGAACGGCCGAATCGATTTTTTTGAAGTTTCGGACACCTGCTTCAGATGTCCCCAAGATAGTAAATAGGCTAAACAAAATTTCGATATATAAAGGGGGCGTGGCGCCTCCCATATATACCGATTTTTTCATACTGCATATCTCTGAAAGTGTTCATGGTAGAATACTGGAACTTGGTATAGAAATATATGAAATCAAACGCATATTTACTTATAGTAAAAATTGGGGTTATTGGAAAAGGAAGCATAGCACCTCCCATACGTACTGAATTTTTCATACTGCATATATCTGCAAGTGTTCATGGTAGAGTACTGGAACTTGGTATGGAGATACATATGTGATATCAATCGCATACTCTTGGAAAAAATTGGAGCTATTGGAAAAAGGGGCGTGTCACCTCCCATGCAAGCCGAATTTTTCGTACTGCATATTTTGGAGTGTTCATGGTACAGTGCCGGAACTGGGTACGGCGATATATGAAATCAATCTTATACTCATGGAGATAAATGGGCTATTTGAAAAGGGGGCATGGTGCCGTGCAAAAATAAATATATAATTCTTATGTAGGCGGGTTTTTGAGTGAAATCCTCCTAAATGCCCGGACGGATTTTCACGAAGTTTTTTGTGTGCTTTTGAGTGGCTCTCTGGATAGTGTAGTTTCACAATTTCATCCGCCAGTTGGCGCTGGAGTTAAGCTATTACTAAAAATCTTATTTATAGGGAATTCACATGAGGCGATTTTTCAGGCGATTTTTAGTTGAAAGCAACAATCGCCTGGTGTAAACAGCCTTTCAACTAATCGCTTACAATGAAGTTGGTCGGCTCCCTACTTTCGTTCAACTTTTGGTTCAACTAATCGCCTGTGAAAGTTGAATCATGTAAATTCCCTATTATGGCACACTTTGGTAGCGGTAAAGGCAATACTATTGCCAAAAAGGACTGCAAGGTGGCGCTGGAGTCATTACGAATAATCGCCAAGCTAGAAAAGGTGACTTGAATGTCAGATTAAATCGACCTGTTGCACCTATACTCAATGGAACTCTTTTGTGTTCCGATTGGCGTAATGGATGTGATTTGCCAGTATTATTGTGCGTTAAAGCGATAATTCAACCGCCACTACCATTGCGCACCTTTTACTGTACAAATAGTTGAATTAAATTTTTAAAAAGGTGGCAACCCTTTCGAAAGACTTAAATATTATTCAAAATTTTCAAACTAAAGATTTCTTAACAATATTTCGTTAGACGATCATATTTTAATTCTTCAGATAGCTTGCGTATAATTAATTCAAATTTGACTTTTTACACAGGTGACAACCCTTTTCAAAATATATTCAAACTACAGCTTTTTTATGCCTCTTGGCATGCATTTTTTTAATATAATTTTCAAATAAAAAAAAACTCCTTTAATTGAAATTGAAGTTGAATTTGATGTTTTTTTAAGGTGGCAACCCTCATCCATGAGCAGATTATTATTTTATATATCTCCAACTTTCAGCAATCGTATCAAAAATATTTCCTGAGAAATGCAGTATGTAAAATTGCGTTTGCACGGGAGGTGCCACTCTCCCTTGTCTAATCGAGATTAAATTTATCCTATACTTTAAGTTGGGCTAAGTGACAGCAATGTACAAAATTCCATGATGATCGGTTAAGTAGTTAATGCGTGAAAGCGTAGCAAACAAACAAACTCACTTTCGGATTTATAATATTAGTAAGGATATCATCTAACTTTCATACATACATATATCTTTTAGAGACACTTGGAAATACATGGAGATAAGCTGATTTGTAATGAATGTGGCAAGCAGTTAAGTTGCCGTGCTACATTCAATAATCATATGCTGGTGCATTCTGATAAGATGCCCCACAAATGTGATTACTGCGGAAGAACATTTAAGCGGGCCAAAACTCTTAAATATCACCTGATTGCCCACACAGGCCTAAGACCATATTCATGTGACTTTTGTGGAAAGACATTTTCAACTGGGTCAAGTTGTCGCTTTCATAAGAGGACTATGCACCCGGCGGAGTTAGCTGAACTAGAGGCTTCGGGAGCAATAGCGTATACGAAAAACGTACCGGATTTAAATACATTGAAAGCAGTGTAAGTAGTATACATACCCAATAAGCATTGTGGCGAGCGTTCGAAAATGACCTTCGATATCCAATATGCATATCGAAATGAGAACGAGCTCATAACCAAACTTAGTTTTCCAACGTTCATGGCATATTGCACGCCACGAAAAATAAGGTAGTTCCATTGTCACTTTTTGTCGCCATTATAACATCTTGGCAACTAAGCAGATTTTGACATTTCGTGCTGCCATACCGAATATCTAAAATCCTTCAAATTTAACCACAAAAATAGTTATTTGTGGTTTCAAGTCTTCTAAACATTTTTTAAGCTTTTAAAGTTTACGACACATATAAATATGCCACTTACGACACCGTTGTGAATAACCCAAATACCATGACACAAGTATTTAAAACTAAAACCTCTCGCCAATTCGTTGGCCATCCTGTATTTTTTGCAGTTTGTCTACTTAATAAAATTGAAATTTTCAGAGCAACTCAAATGCTAAATAAAAGTGAAACATAAAACAAATAGTGAAAATAATCAAATTTTCTTTTATTTGAGACTAAAATTGTGACTGTATTTGTGGTTTTGAAAGTTTTAAAACATTTTTGCTATGTTAGCAAACTTCAGAAATATCCAGGCTGCCCCTCGGCGTTTTTACCTTCTCATTTTTGTATCATACCAAATACTGTGTCTTAAGTAGCTCATCGAATAATTTCAGGGCTTGAATTATTCCAGAAATAATCGCATCCGATATGAAATAGTCCTGGGGGATCTACTCTGTATTGCGATTCAAAAAGCAAATCATTCGCATTCGAATACTTGCCTTCCGAATCGCATTGAGTGAAATAATCAGATGACATAAGAACGCTGGAGAAATTTTAAAATATGTTCACTAAATTTTGATTAATCTAAACGGTGTTTACTTAAGAGGATTTGGCAAGCAGCTATTAGTTGAAAGAACAATCGCTTGGTGTCAACGGCCCTTCAACTAATCGCTTCCAATGAAGTTGGAGTGCAGCCAACTTTTGATTCAACTCATGTGAATACCGGTTAAAAATAAAAAATTTGGCAAGTGGTTATCGACTTTAACTTAAAATTTTTTCAGATAAGATTTTAATTATTTTTAAAGGTAAATGTTAATATAACTATTTTATTCATTTATGATATAAAATCCCCTAAACCAAAAACCTAAATTGGGTAACGCTGCTTGGAATTTTTCACAATTGAGCAATTTTCAAAAATCTGCTTTTTAATCAAAAAGTTGTTTATTGAAACTACCTTATTTTTTGTTGCTCCTTCGCAAAGTAATTGGGCATATTCATAGTTGAAATAAAGTCGACTATAAAGTTGGTTGAAGCTTTTTTGACAGATATTCCATTGAAAATTGTGATAAAATCTGCTACTAGCTTTAGAGTGGACTTTATTATGACTATGAATATGCCCCATTGTATTATGATGAGTGAAATCCAGCGCATTCTCTAAGGCAAATATAAGAAAATCACTCCCATTAAAATTTCTTTGTGACAACGGGCTGGATTTCGAACTGATAACGAAGGGAAAATGCATTGGATAACGAAGGTTGCGTTTTGCTGGATAATGACCGAGTTTTCTAATCGAATTCTAACCTGTTCCATATTCATTATCGATGGTGAGACTTGAAAAAAAGATGTGTTTCACAATAACTTTTGAATTGTTAACCAAGCCCAATGTTTATTGGGTATATATGTATTTATGTATGTTTCACGACTCAATAATAGGTTTGTTCCACAAGTCACTTCGAGTTACACATACGCGTTCCACCATTAAGTTTTTTAGTTTATTTGATATACGCTGACAGTTTGAACTTTGCTCGAGTTTTTCTACAAGTAGCTTGTGGAACAATCTTAATAAAAAGTTTGCTCAGAAAACAGTTTTCTCGCTCCCTCTTGATAAAATCGGGTGTGGGTGCGGGTGTGTGCGCAACTTTTTGTAAGGAAGTTAAGAGAGTGTTAAACCTCTAATGTCACTAGTGAGCAAACCTTTAAGGCCAATATGCAGCTCTCAAGAAAAGCAAAAATTCCATTCAAAGTGACGTACAAGAATTGGCCAAGAAATTTTCTTGTGTCAAATTTCCTTAAGGCAGTACGCAGCTGTTAAGAACTTGGCTACGCTTTCTACTACGGTTTTCTAACGTTTTTTGTGAAAAAAGAGCACAAAGCAAACCATGTTTGCAACAGAAATAAATGCCCCTTCCATTATTTCTTGAGGAAAAAGTGAGGCAAACGGCTGTGAAGTATCAGATGTCAAAATTCCTTGGACATATACACGAAATAATAGATCCACTACTTATCTTTTCTGACTAAAATCTGAAAAGTGCCAAAATGTAAGAGCGTAAGCTAAATGCACTCTTTAAAAGAGAATAACAGGAAAAAGTAAAGGAACGCAAAAAACCAAATTTTTAGTCCAAAGAATGGCAACAACAAAACTAATGTCAAATAAGAATAGAAATATATGTACAAAACACATTCACACAAGCACAATGAGCACTTACTAAATTAATTATTTTTTGCCCACTTCCATTTTCAATTAATTTAATTTAGTTTTTAGATTATTCTCACTTTTCGTGTGTTCTTTAATTTCCGTTAATTTAAATTCAGTTGAATGTGACATTTTTCAAGATTTTACCAGCAAAAAATTCTTCTGACTAAAGGTAGGACCGCTCTAAACGTCGCGGCACTGCAGCGGCACTACGCGGCACGGCGCGACACTTTTTGGTATAACGCACTGGAACTGCAGCGGCGCGACACTTTGATGCAAATTTTTTAATTTATTTGTGTCAAAACCATCATACAAGATGGATGCCAGTGACGCTGATATAATGTTAACGCCTTTTATTTTCTTTAGCGAATTCTTCTCAAATGTTATGTTTCTTTAAATACAATTTTCTTTTAGAATGAAAGGTATCTGAATATTCACTCACAATTCGAAATACAATTTCTTCGAGTTAAAAATATTCTATGAAATGTTATGTATGTATGTAGTTACGCTGGGTATACCGCACTATGCGGCAGCGGAACTGCGCAACACTACGTGGCGCGACATTTTTGTCTAGTTGGTCAACTTTGCCGCGCAGTCTCGCTTAGTGCGGTATGCTCCATAAGAATCCATGCGAAGAATATTTTGCTGTGCTGTGTAGTGTCGTGTTGTTATTGTTGTTGTTGTCAAGTAGTTTTCAAGTTATGAAACGCTTTTTGGACCAAATCTCACTTCTTAAGAATATCGCATTTTTTTCTTGACCGTTTTATTAAGAGCTGCATACTGGCAATTAATTATTGAATCATGTGTATGTATGTATGTAAATAAACACGCCAATTTCAATAAATTTTTTTTTTCTTATTTTTAAGGGTGCGAAAGGGAGAAAATTTAATGCCACTTGCATCCAAACAAAAGGGTTATACAAACTTATCAAATCTATCAAATGAAGAGAACTATTCCTCAACATCAACGCTAAATAACATTATACAACAAATAAAACAGGATTAAAAAATTATTGTAGTAGATAAGATACATATGAAGAACTAATATTATTTTCAAATTGGCCCCATTTAACTTGTTAAATGAAAAAGAAATTTTTGTAAAACACAATCGTCCACATTGAAAATTTGGAGTTAACTTTGACGGTGGCAAGGCGAATTCATATAAGGTGGTATCGATTTAACAAATACAACAATTAATTGTATTTTTTTTCAAATTTCAGCTATTCTTCCCCAAATGAAAAAGGGCGACAGTATGTGCAAACACTGTCACGTTTTCACTCACTCACTGGCAAAATACAAAAGGTCCATTCAATATCAAGAAATTGTTACGAATTGTTACTAGTACTTACAAGTTTTTATTGGAAATGCATTCAATAACCCAAAAAAATTGCAAGAGAGATCGAATTCGAGAGCGTAATAACCCGAGAGAGCTGCAAATTCTTGCAAGTAAAAATTTTACTAGCAGGAATTTGCAGGAGTCAAAAAGCGAGGTTATGTTTGAAATTTAAATGTAAACAAAGGATGATTTGATGAAATGTAATTAGTCAAATGAAAATATGGATGAATAATTTAAATCCAATGTATGTTTTTTTTTTATTTTTATGACGATGGGAAATATTCTTAATCAAAAAGAAAATTGCACGCCAAAACTTAACTGTCAGAAAGTGTCAAAATGGCGTAAGTTGCAAGTTGTTACTAATTTTGCGTTCAATAACTTTTTCTGAAAATTGTCTCTTCCTCTCAATTTTACTGTCTAGTTTTCTTTTACGCTCTCGCTTCAAGTACTTACTGGAAAAGTTATTGAATGGACCTAAAATTTTGATAATCAAACGCCACTCACAGCTGATGAAACAGAACCACCTTATATAAATTCGCCTGGACGGTGGTTTGATTTCAAATAAAAAAATTAAAAAAATACAAAATCAAGCTTTGTGTTTCATTTTGTTTTGTGCGAATGTTTGCTTCATGATATTAACGGAACACCTAAAGAATACTGACATTTGAGCTAAAGAAAAAAAAAGTGGGCGTGGCCCGCCCCCTATTCCGGATTTTAACGGCACATTTTTAGGTGCAAATTGACAGGGGCGGCGACAGGAGGGGCTAAACGTGGAATTTTCAACATTTTCAAAAGCTTATATTTCGAAAACTATTGAACCGATTTTCTAAATATGGATACAGTTGGAAAGGCAGTAGGACCTTTCATTCGATATATATACCTATGTATATAATGTATACACATTGCGAGAAAAGGTAAAAAACGAAATTATGGCAATTTTTTATAAAAATGTATGTTTTTCTTTAAAAAATACGTAATTTACTATAATAACAGATATGTTTATCAGAAAGAGCACAAAAATACCATTAATTTGATATGACTTGTAGCAAAAAATTCTTGTGGACATCATATTTGACTAAATATACATATATGAAAATATAGTTTATATGAAAAAGGAAAAGCGCCGCAGGCGAAAATTTGGAACAATAGAAAATCTTAATCTCTTTAGTTTTTACAAAAATTTAATAAAAAAATACTAAAGAAATTATACAAACCATTTTTTTTTTAATCACCTTATTTGTTATAAGTGTAGGATTTCCTTTCTAATCAAATTAAAATCCCATTTCAGTTTACGCAGGTTTGCTTATTTATTTTATTAAATTAAAATGTACACTTAACACGGAATACATACAATGTAGGTTGAAGCCTGAGGTCCGTCCGGTGCTCGCGGTCGCGTAAATTCGAATGTCGTTCTTGTCCGTTTTTCTAGTTGTCGTTCCTCTCGTCAAGTTGTTCGCTTGTTTCTTTCACTGTCCTTCTTATGCAGCGTTGCATCTGGAAGTCAGTGTTACCTGATTGTACGATATTGTGTCATTTCGTAAGTGGTAAGTAAGTGTTGTGATCTCGTAAGTATTGTCCGGCAGTCAAATCCTACATAAGATTGAGTTGTAGAATTAAATGGATAATTAATCAAGCTACGCTATCCACAGTATTTTTGCGTACAATTCCTTTCTGCGTAGGCGGCCTTCGGCCGCGCTTAGGGATTATAACCCTAACAACGTGGAATTCTCCTTTCTGTGTTGCCAAAGAAAAGGGGCAGAACACCTTTTGCAGAGAACACCTTTTTGCGTAGGCGGTCTTCGGCCGCGCTTAGGGATTGTAACTCTCACTACGTAGAATTGTTCTTTCTGTGTTGCCAAATAATAGGTCCTGAACACCTTTTGCAGAGAACAGCTTTCTGCGTAGGCGGCCTTCGGCCGCGCTTAGGGATTATAACGCTCACAACGTAGAATTCTCCTTTCTGTGTTGCCAAAGAAAAGGGGCAGAACACCATTTGTAGAGAATACTTTTTTGCGTAGGCGGCCTTCGGCCGCGCTTGGGGATTATAACCCTCACTACGTAGAATTCTTCTTTATGTGTTGCCTAATAAAAGGGGCTGAACACCTTTTGCAGAGAATATATAACATTAATACAGTTGTTTTATTGCACTGCTGGCAGTTGTACTTAAACCTAACTATATAAAATTATACGCCAAATTAAAGGTATTTTATGGTCTTTCCGATAAACATATTTGTTAATATAGTTAGGAATTTTTTTTACGAAAAAACATACATTTTTATAAAAAGATTGCCATACTTTCGTTTCTTTTTACCTTTTTCTCAAAATATGTTTGCAATAAACAAATAAATAAATAAATGTTTGCATTATATACATAGATATAAGGTTTGTTCGTCGAAAATCCAGCAAGAATTAGCCAACCCTCAAAATATCAGAGGGTAAGAAAAAATTCTCTCAAATTCTCTCTCATGTTGAGAAACTTGCAAATTTCTGCACGAACGCAAATTTGCAGGAATTTGCAAGTTTCGCTGCCAGCTGGCGTCCACGGTTGCATTTCAAACATAAACAATTTTTATAGAATTTTTAAAATTCTTTCGGATGGCCAAAAACAGGATATACATGTATATTTCTTGTTGTTCCGACTTTCTTTGACATACATTTCAATTTCTTCATCGTACTAGCTGTCGGGTTTCTTAAATCGACTCTGGTTGCAATTGCATTCCGATTGCGAATACCATTTTTTTCAGCCGAATTAAGTTCAAATCATTGGAATTAACTAAATTAATTATATCAACAATTATTTACTTCCTTTTTTCATAAAAAAATCGCTCGTTTATAAATTTTTAAATTTAACGAACTAATTTATTCAAATTATTGTAGACAAAAATGCAACCATGCGCCACAACCATATGTTTTTCGTGTTTGCAAATTCTTGCTGGCAAAATTTTTTCCAGCAAGAATTTGCAACTTCTCTCCAAGAGAACTGTCACTTTGCTCTCACAATTTTTGAGTGTTGGATAATTTTTTGGTCCGCACGAACGCGATTTGGGCAAAAATCGTGACAATTCGTACAAATATTTTGCTCGACGAACAAACCTATATATATTGAATGAAAGGTCCTTCAATTACCTTTCCAACTGTGTCCATTATTTTGAAAATCGGTTCAATAGTTTTCAAAATATAAGCTTTTGGAAATATTGGAAATTCCACGTTTAGCCACCCCTAGCGCCGCCCCTGTCAATCTGCACAAAAAAAAGTTTACCATTAAACTCAGCAGAAAGGGGTGCACCACGTCCACGTCCACGTTTTCTTTTTTCTCTACCTCAATGTTCGGTATTCTTCAGGTATGCCATATTAACGCATACGGACCTCAAAATGTTTATACCACTTTCCCACGTAGGGTGGCCAGATATTATAGGGACATAATCAGTACAGTTGGGATCAAAAATCAGTACAGAGCCATAAAAATCAGCTCATTTTTAGGCGAATTTTTTATTATTAACAAAATAGCAACCAAATAACAGCGCATTAATTAACAGTTTCAACCGAAACTGTGCATATATGCATTATTTCGATTTTTTCGTATGCATTATTTCGTATGCAGTTTCCATATGCACAATTTCAGGGTGCCTTGTTCGCTCCCCCAATTGAGATTTCGTAGGCAGTTCGTATGCAATATTTATCTCTGCGTACGATGAGAGATGATAGGATAACTAGATAGACGTGCATTCGATTTTGATATTTTTTCAGTTTTTAATTTTTAATACTTTTGAGAATATAAATTTACAGATTCGCTTTGACAGATAAGATGAATTGTATGAAAATGCACAAAGCATTCCACATAAATCGTTGAAGCTGCAGCGCGAAGCGAAAAGATGGCCAACTCCCGTCTTTTTGCGCGCTTTGACAATGAGCCGGTTTAATATTTATTTTGTTTCGTCCAAACTCGAGTTTTCATGCAGAAACATAAAATTTAATTACATTGCTGATAATTTTAAAGCAAAATATATAAAATCCACACCAACTTTGACGAGTAAAAAAGCGGTCAAAATTGTTTTCTTGGCGTTCATTGCGTACCTTTTGCGTCTGGCGCTTTGCTGGCAAAGTTCTAAATGGCACGCAAAGCTACAAAGATTTATCTGGCATCAGCTTAAAGGCCCGTTTACATAGAACTTTGGCGTTGCGTTGGCGTTGGCGTCGCTTCAACAGCTGACTATGAATACATGAATTCAAATGCAGCCGTCCACATAGCCAAAATTCGACAACGCTCACGCCAACACAAAGCAAAAAGATGGCCAACTCTCAACTTTTCGCGTGCGTCGCTCGTCAGCTGTTGCGAATAAATAAAATTATGTGAAATATTTTTCCTTTTTAATCAAGTGCGGGCAAGAAATATCGTTTTTAATGCAATTATTGATATGAAATATTAATTTATCTGTCGTTAATATGTTAATTTAGTGGCCCAAGGATTCGCCGCCAAGCGTTCATTGTAGCAAGCATACTTTTAACGTGCGTTCTGTCAAACCAACGCCAACGCCAACGCAACGCCAAAGTTGTATGTAAACGGGCCTTAAGACAGCCGCGGTTTGACACTCCCTTACAAAAGGTTGCATTTACGAAGGATGGGAAAGGGGAGGAATGAAATGCATTGCTGCGAAAATGGTAGTAGAAAAGTACCCCTAAGTAGGCAAAGAGTAGTGAAATTCCTTTTGTAAATTCTAA